CCTGTCCTGCAGCCAGGAGGTCCCGTCGTGGTTTCCGACCCCGGTGATTCGCCCCTCACCAGCAGCACCCGTGTTTGCCGTGTGTTGGTGGTGTAGCTGCATTCCTGGAGTTTCTGTGATTAAAGAGTATTCACTCACCAAACAGTCAGGGTACCTCAGGAGGTTCGTGAATCACCCAAAACCCCGTGAGCTGGGCCAAGGGGTGAGTACAGCGGCACCGCACCATTGCTTCTCTGGTGCATCCTCCCCTTTGGAGCTGAAATCTCCCCAGCCCGTGCGAGAGGAAAGGTCACCCTCCATGATTCCAGTGGTCTCTGAATCATAAATGATTTAACCAAGGTCATGCACTGACTTTGGGGACGAGCCAGGCATGAAAAACCAGCTCTGCTGCCCTGTCTCTTGCAGAAGCAGCAGATCAGGACACTCCAACTTTGAGGTCTGAGTCTCTTGAAAGCAGAGGATTAACCACAGAGCAGCCGCAGATCCCAAGAGATCCCATCCTCTCCTTTCACCCCCCCAGGCTCCCAAATCAGCTCATCCAAACACTGGAGCCGGTTTCCCGGTGTGAAAAACCCTTGGTGGACCCCCTCAGAAAAATTCTCCTCCCCATCAGAGCAACAAGGGTTGAGCATGAGAGCTGACACGGAGCCGGTGCGATGCAATTTTTAGCAGTGGCGTTATGCAACCCGGGAGAAGGGATGACTAATGTGCAAAGAGCTCCTCTAAAACAACCGAGCCCCGAATGGGAGACGGAGGGATTTCAGTGGGAGGCACCAAACTGTTGAAAAACCCATCGCATCTTCTCCCTCTTCCTCCCCGCCGCCTTCTGAGCAAGCGATTTGAGGGGTGCGGGAGGGGGAAAAGAGCGTGTGATTTTTAGGTGGGGTCTGGGTTGGGTTTGGGGGTGAGTTAGCAGGGGTTAATCCCCTGGATAGGATTGTAAGAGGAGCTGTAGTGGATCAGGAAAGCAGACCGCTAAATATCGCCGTAGCCCAGGGTTTTATCTCAAACAGTGGCCAAAATTGGCTGCCTGGAGAAGAGGATAAGAATAGAGCAAGAATATACGATACTTCCCCCGAATATCCTCCCAGCCGCTTATCTATGTTTAGGGCTCTGGCGAGGAGCGCACGTTCCAGCTAAGGCGAAAAGCAGCGGGAGAAAGCAAGGTTGTTTGATTTATTCTTGACGAAATGAATAAATCAATAGGAGGCCGGCTGCCTCTGCCCAAGTCCTAAAATGGCATTTAAAAAAAAAAAAATCAACTGGTGTGCGGCGACCATCAGGGCAGGGATCCTGCTGCCGGCATCCCAGCCTGGAAGAGAGACTTCCCACGGGATGGGGTGAGCGTGCTGGGTCTGAGCCGCCGTCATGTTCCCGGCAGGACGCCGGGACGGAGCGGGCACACACAGATCCAGCGCTGTGCATACCGTATTTCCGTGCCCCCTGCCCGTGTGCAGCGTGACGCCCAGCAGCGCGGTACCCAGGGGAGCTCCATGTCCCGCGGTCCTCAGCCCATCGTGGGTGCTCAGGTGGGAACGGGAGCAGAGACGCTGCGTAGCATCGGGCTGCCCTGGTGCTGCTGGGAGTCCTTGCGTCCGTCTGTCTGCGTGTCTGTCTGCCGAGACCGGCAGTGCTTTGGCACGGGGAGCAAACCCCTCTACCCGCTCCATGCCGTGCAAGGGGCAAAGCCAGAGCAGCCTCATCCCTTGGATCCAGGGGGGATTTGGGGCCAGTTCCCCCCTGCCAGCATCCAGCAGCAGCTTCTTCCTTCTCTCTTGCTCCTGGGAGACTCAGAGCCCAGCGCTGCGCAGAGACCGCGCCGCCAGCCCGGGTTTGCGTGCAAAGTATTAATTATTATTGTTGCAACAACCGCTCTGTTTCTCGGGAGATGCCTGAAAGAGCCGAGAAAATAGAAAGGGCTGTCAGGCAGCCGGGCGGGAGGTGAAGATGTCAAGAGAGTAATTGCTCTGCCCAGAAGCAGCCTGGTTCTGGCTTCCCCAGCGCTGCCAGGAAAAATCCTCAGCGCTTATTTGATGACAATAAAAAGAAAAGAAAATAAATAGCAACCCCATCCCTTGCCCATGTTGACGAGGAATGGGGAGAGCAGAGGCAGATGCAAAATAAGATGCAGTTGAGCTTATAAATAGGTGCCTCCCAGCTCCCAGTCTGTTAATTCGTTACCTCCGCCCGAGCGATCGATCTTTACACTTTTCCCCCATGAAAAGGTAAATGAAGGCTCCGAAAATATTTTGCAAACTGCTGGGGAGCGGGTCACACGCTTCCTCTTGTGTGGGACCGGCTGGGGCCGGGGATAGGGCCTGGTGGCTATGGAAAAAAAAATATATATATAATCCTTTAGCTTTGGAGAGTGAGAGGGGACGGGCTCCGTTGCCGTGAAAGTCCCCCTCGCCGTCTTTACGTGGTCCGTGGAGATGGGTGCGCGGGAGGTGCAGGTATTGGGGGTTTGACCCCAAGGTCTGGGGAGCACGGTGGGGTGCTCTGCTCCGGGGGGGAACTGCCGGTGCTTCAAACCCGCCCTGCTGCAGTGGCTGAAAGA